TATGCAAGGACGAGGATCTGTGTCAGACTGAAGACCTGCGTCGCGTCAGTGAGCTGGATCACACCGCGCCATGTGCTTCCTTACCTGGCTGCGTTTATAATCGCGCTCATCGCGCAGACCTGCATCTTCGTCTTCCGCGTCTTCCAGTTCGCTGATCTTTGCATCAACTGATGTCCGATTCGCGTGCGATTTCGTACGCGAGCGCATAGGGTACACTCCGCCCACGGACTGCGACGATCGGACTGGATGCAGATCTGCATCTGCAAAGTGTATTGAGGTATCCATACCAGGCTGTCGGTGTTGTACGCAAAGACAGTCAGGCAGTCCCGCAGGACTTATACCATCCCGTTATCTGGCCGCAACTGTTGCCGACTGACAATCTCATCTGGTAACAAGCTCTATCGCTGACGAAAAGCCTTGGTTGGCTCTTAGCCTTGGAGCTTATCGTGAGAACGGAATGCCCACGTGTAGTTAGCTGCTTCATTGTTTAGGCAGGATGGCGCAGCACTGCGGGATTTTCGTGAGCGTCGGCGCGCGGGGATGTGACTTGCAGCGCTTGCTTTTCGGCGCCGCAACGCCCTTGATGCAATGTCGCGGGCTCGTAAATCGCGCATCCCGTGAATAGTCGCCAGGAGTAATGGCTAAAAGCAGGCTTTGGTCCTCATCTCAAGGAGGAACCACGACATACAAGTAGGAGAATGATGTAGCCAGGAAACAACATTGACAAGCGATTATCAGCCGCCATCGTCAGAGGTCGAGCTTTGCATCGTGCAGACTTCATGCACGAGTACCAGCTGAAGTTTGGTGGGGTGTGGGATGTCTTTGTGTATCGGGCAACTGCACCCTGAGGGATGATTGCAGCTAAGGTCGTCCTGAGCCAATCAGCGAGGGCCGCTAATGCTTGATCGGCACTGAGCGGGTCACCCCGCTGATGCTTGGTCTGACCTTCACGCCTCGCAGCCCGTGGGCCTCGACCATGCGTACAGCCCTCGTTGACAGACAGTTCGTTACCAGCTCTACCTCGCTTCTTGATAGCAATAATTAGCAAGTGCCCGTCGCGGCTCGTGTCTATGAATTTTTTCATGTCAAAGGTACGAAAACAAGGACACGATCATAGCAGCGTATGGCCTAGCTGACGGTGCCGTTGGTCTAGCAAAATGTACTTGCATCTAGAAGCCGGTCATGTCGTTGGCACGGTGTGTCATTTCTTAATTCGCGTAGTCGCAATAGCCACCGTATTCTTCACCTACATGCGACACACCTCAAAAGATGTCGCATCCATCGCGCAGTCCTTGTGTTGACGATACTTCTCTTTTTGCGAGCGCAGTACTAAACCTTACGATTATGGCAGCTTCTCCAAATCGGACTGCGCACACTCAGCAAAGAGACAAACGCTATATCACGGGTTAACGTACTCATTCACGTGATCTGCCAGTACCTAGGTAAGTGTACCCGCAAGTATAAAACCCCCCTTGAGCATCCTCTCCATCTCTCTACCTCACTTCTCATAAAGCCAGGGGAATTTTCCAAAAAACAAATCACTCCAAAATTCATGGTTCGAAAACCACTCTGAGTGTAGACATGTCTTTTGCCTCGTCAGCTCTGCCCACCTCACTTTCAAAAGCTCCAAACGTTCTCTCATATGTCTGCCGCTCTTCTCCACTGCTACTTATATCATATTCATGCCAGCAACTCCAAAACTTTCTCCACATACTTTCATGGCGGTCTGTCCCTCAAATGAGAAAGCTTCCAATTTTTATGGAGAAGCAGACTCCATGAGACTAAGAGCTTCTAAAGAAAAAAGCGATCGTAGATGTCATTGATGTCTGCGTTTCTGAGCAACTCAACTTATTCATTCATGTCCGTGTCTGAAAACAAAATGTCGCACGCGAGACACCATGACCGTTCGAGCTTTTGCTGTTTCCCGAAACCAACCCCGGTACCTGTTATGTCCGAGTCCCTCCCGTCTCCGCACAATATAAAAATTTCCCTTCGATCAGTTCTTGACTCTCACCTCTACACTACAATCCTTTTGTGCAAATTCTAAAACCACATATGAACTCGTCATGTGTTCCGAAATTGCCCTCGGCAACTGGTTACGTTCCTCCCTCCGCCTGCCTTGCTTCTATGAAAAGTTTCAAAACTACAAAATACCAACGCATGTGAACCAAAACACCTCCCACGCTTTTTGGATGACTTCTGCGCTCCTGCCTTTCTGCCTACTTCCATCGCTTTATCATCAAAACGATGATACACATTCCCTATGCGGGAACCGTCGTTCTCAAATCCGGAACAAAACTGAAGCAGGCGATATTCATGGAGTTTTCCCTTCCTCTGGATAAAACATGCGAGACTTCTCAAGAACATGTTTATGTCCGACTTCCAGTTCAAAAGCCCAAGCTGCCTCCTTAATGAGTCAGCGGAGAGTTACTAAAAAATCTGGGTTTGAAGACCTCATGTCTTCTGCTGCTCGGCTTTGAGATAAATATTTGACTACCTACACACTCATGCTCCTGCCCTTCCGCGGTACTCCTGTTTCCAAAAGTGATGATGCACGTCGTCGACGCACCAGATCCACGGCAAACGTTACTGAGAGAGTTTTATTGATACCTACTGCTGCATTACAGCGAATATAAGGTGTTTGGGAAATACACCTACATTGAGATTACTATATAGAGTTACTAGACCGCGTTTTGTTGCCCTGCTCTGCATCAACATTCCACCGTAATAAAAAAGTGATGATGCTCTTCGAAAATGCCTACAACACTTTGGATGATTTCGCGAAACAAGACTGGAGAAATGCTGATGGGACAACATGTATCTCTCGATGGTGATGATCATTGTCACTGACACATGTATCCTGCTGAGATAAACACATCATAATTCGATGATTATCCATTGTTCTAGTATATATCCATAACAAAACCCGCTCTATATGCCAAAGCAACACAGCCCAAAGCCATAAGGGACTCTCCAACTCCACATCATCACCGGGTATACCACACTCAATTCATACAAGCACTGAACATATCGCTTCATCCCAGCATCTTCTTCCACGCGTGCTCTATGCGCTGTGCACACACCGAAGACATCCACTTCAGAACCATGTCCTACAACTCGTCGTGCGCATCCGGCTCCGGCATCGTAATAGGCTCCGTTGGCCTACCGAGCTCCTCATCAATGCTAACGCCCTTCTTCGCGCGGTACTTTTCCCACACGCTCCAGAACTCCTTCTCCATGCTCTTGTCCATTTGGTCGGGGAGAACGACTACGTACTCGACGTGCAGGTCACCATATTGCAGGCCCTCGTGGGTTTCGAGTTGTTGGGCCCATACTGGCATGCCCTCTTCCTTGACGATTTCAACCATGTTGGGCTGAACGACTTCGCCGCGTTTGCGCGAGAGTTGGACAATGTGGCCGTCTAGGTGGGTAATGTTACGTGTCCAGCCGCCCATCCATGCCTCGCGGAGGGAAAGCACTTCGCGCCAGAAAAGATCTTTGCCGCGTCTCCGGAAGAAGGTTCCGTCTGTGCGCTCGTGGTTTTGTTCTCCCATAGCGGGCTCTGCCTCGACGAGGTGGACAATGAGGTCGCCAGCAACGTAATCGGGGCTTTCGTCTGCTTCGTTCTCGTAGGTGATGCGTACGCCCTTTGGCATGCCCTTCTCAATCTCGAGGTCGTGGGATTCGGCTTCGCGGATAACTCTACTGCCGTGGCAGACGGGACAGGGCTTCTTGATCGTCTTTCCTTTGCCGTGACATTGGTCGCAGTGTACCTGCACCTGCTGGAATAGGCCGGGCGCGAGTTGCTGTCGCTGGATCCTGATACCACGTCCACCGCATGTACCACAAGTCTCCACGTGTCCATCCTCCGAGCCTGAACCCTCGCAGGCTGAGCAAATCGCTTGCTTCTCGATTGTGAACTCCGTCTTTCGGCCGTTATAGAAGTCGCGTAGGGGCAGTGCGACCCGTACTTCCATGTTTGGTCCTCGTCGTTCTCCGCCCTGGTGACCAAAGTGTCCTGAGCCGCCGAAGAAGCGCGAGAAGAGGTCGAAGGGATCGTGCTGGCGTGGACCACCGCCTTCCTTGTGCTGCTTGATGCCATCGTGGCCGTACTGGTCGTAGATCTTGCGCATCTCTTTCTTGCTAAGGACCTCGTAGGCTTCGGCTATCTCGACAAACTTCCCACTTGCCTCATCGTCGCCACTGTTGAACGTTAGAGATGTGAGCTGATATGATGGGTTTACAAACGTACGGGTTCTTGTCTGGGTGGTACTTCTTGCTGAGGGTTCGATAGGCTTTCTTGATCTCGCGCTCTGAGGCATCTTTCTTCAGGCCAAGCAGCTACAGTATCATGTTAGCAAGTGCACTTCAACTTGCAACTGAGGCGAAAGTACAGATGTGTACAGATAGCGCTTCTACATACCTTGTAGTAGTCCTCTGCACCGACAACAACCAGCGCCAGGAAGGCGACCAAAAAGAACAGCGCTAACCGTGGGAGCATTGTGTCCTATGAGTTGCGCCAACAGCGGTGTTGGAGTTGCGAAAGTGAGTGGACGGAATAAAAGTATCCGAGATAAATGCAGGAGCAAGATTCTACATGGGGTTCGCGTGTGAAACTCAGGTACGAGCGACCCCGAAAAGAAAGAATTGGGAGAGTGAAAGCGGGAGGGCGACTTGGAATGTGAAAGTGGATGTTGCGAATGGGACACGATAGCAGTAACGTAGATTATGCGGCCAATCGGAGTTAAGCCTTGGCATTACCGACTTCACTTTTCATGCGAAGCATTTCCCATGCGACGACGGTGAATCGAGGCTACACCACCCCACACGCCTCCGACACGCGATTAGATAACTTACAAGGACGCATTGAGTTGCCGTCTCTATACACGCACCTTCAGGTCGACCTTGGCGTGTGCAGCCCGCGCTAGCAAACCTCCGCAAGACCTCCGCAACCACCGCACACCAACCACGCCTCAACTCCACACCCACTACCACCCGCCATGGCGTCGATAGCGACCAAGGCGATAGCCGGAAAACCAATTCTCCCACCATGTTTCACAAGCCAGAAAGTCGGCGTCGTAGTTTCAGCAGGCAAGATGGCGAGAGCAGTACGAGTGCGCGTCGCAGAACACGAATGGAATAAGAAGTTCAGGAAGGTGTGTTGGCACGACAATCGCACATTTGCCCATAGCAGTGCTGACGAACAAACCAGCACTTCCCAGCCCCCAAAACATACATAGCCCGCGACCCCAACAACTCCGTCGTCGAAGGAGACATTGTGCGCATAACATCCGGCTACCGCACCTCCAAAGTAATCCGCCACGTCGTAACCTCCATCGTCGCGCCCTTTGGCGAGCCCGTCGAAAACCGACCCCCAGTCCTCACCCAAGCACAACTCGACGAACAGCGCATCAAAGAGCGGTTATTGAAGGACGTACGGTCGGCGGAGCGGGGCAGGCAAGCGAGTATCCAAAGACTGGCGCTGGCGCGGAAACAAGGCTTAACAATACCCACATTGGCCGAGGCTATGGAGGGTATGAGGATACATACCGAGGCGGAAAAGGCACGGGCTGAGGCGCATGGTGGACAGGCTGGACAGCAGAAGACGGCCAAGGAGAGACGGTTGGAGCAGGGCAAGAAGACGAAGGCGGAGGTTAAGGCGGAGAGTAAGGTCAAGAATGCGAGGAAGCAGACTGCCTGAAGTAGTTGTGAGGTGGGAATTGTAAAACATATTGTGTATACATCAGATGCATTCAAGGCTGCCTGCATGGTGAGTGGTGGCAGCGCATGGCATACGCCTTACGATGTCACTGATGCTCAGCATTACTACAGTGAGGACTATACTAATCAAGCAGCCCTCGCATCTATCTTACAGCCTTTTCTCCTTCTCCATGGGTATACAACGGGACATCTTCCGTTTCGTAGCTCAGCCCAACACCGAACTAACACTCAAGCCAAAAGTCCAGCTCCCACAGCCAAAAAAGCCACCATCCATCCCACCAGCCTCAAAGAAGCTCTATCTCCACTCGCCTTACCTAACACCAATCAGTCAGTCAAACAATTCACACTTATCTCGTCATGTCTCAACATACCTTCCCCATCCCCCGTCTGCACCGCACTCCCCACGGCCGTCGTACTCTGCGCCACCTCCGCCGCCCTCGTCCCATTCGGCCCCTCTATCCCCTCCAAATCCTGAGCCCACCCGAAGCACCCCTGCTGAAAATTAAACTTCTTATCCGTCTTCGCTTCCGGATAAATGCTCTCGACGCACTCCCTCCACTCCCTCCTCTGCTCCAGCGTAACCTCGCAGTAAAGCATGCAGTCCTGCCACATTTTCACCTCAGCCCCGGGTTTGCAGCACGAGGCGAGGTAAGGGATCGTTTTGTTGCTGACGTTGTTGCCGATGTTGTACGTGCACCACGCGCCGGACACGTCGCTGAAGTACATGTTTTGTGAGGAGGCGGGGCAGGTTAGGGGCGTGGGGTAGGGGGTGCCGGATATTATCATGACTGTGCCTGAGGGGGGTGGGGTGGTTGGGGAGGGAAAGAGAAAGGTGTCTAAGGAGGTGAGGGAAGACATGGTTGTGAAATGCCCAGGTAGTGTTGTGTGGGTGAGGATGTTTTCGTTGTATTCTTGAGGCAGAAATGTTTTCGTGGATCCGAAGTCGTGCGGGAGATATGTAGTATTCCGTCTTTGTTTGATCCGTACCTAACATACTTTTACTTTTCCTTATACTCATCCCATCCACCGGCACCAGCGGCACTTTACCCACTTTTCTTCTTCTACTACTTTACTCAAGCAATGCCCATCCCGAGGCTCTCATCTAACACCTATGCCAACCATGCCACCAAAAGACTTTTTCCCCACTTCACCGACGCCTGGGCCCCTATTAGCATGTAAACGTCCTCGCGTAATTATAGTCGTATGAAGAGCCTCACCGCGCGTAACCTATTCAAGTCAGGCGCCCGATACGCCAAGAGATTATGGCATGAAGCTAGGACAGAATAGGGAAGATCCAGGGCAGTAAGGCGTGCCAATTTAGACATACGGGAGGTTTTCTTGACGGCTAACGGGAAGGGACATAAAGATTGACGCACTGTGGCTGTGTTTTGAGGCACTGCATTTTGTACATTGGTAAATTAACGAACATCTATAGAACCATGTCTTCTAGGTACAATCACGTTACCCCAACACGCCCCTCACACAAACGGCAAAACAACATGACTACCGCACTCCCCACCCACATGCACAACATGCATCCCCCTATTCCTCTCCTCAAGCTCCACCTTCTTCCTCGGACCAAACTCCTGCACAAGCGGATACTCACCACTAATCTGCACGGAAATCCCCTCTCCAGCCTCAAAATCAACACCCATAGCCCACAGCCCTATCTCCAACTTCACGACCTCACCCGCCGGCACCTTCTGCACCTCGTCGTGCGTATGGAAAGGATACTGTGGGTGGATAGACTGCGAGGGATCGGTTTTGCGGTGGGAGGCGCGGAGGACGCCTGTGGGGCCGTAGTAGATCATTAGGTTTGAGTAGTCTGATTCGGGGATGGAAGATGCGGAGGTGTAGGGCGCGGCGGACCAGGGGATGTTTATGGCGATCATGGGTTTACCCGACTTGTCTAGTTTGCGGATGAGGACGTAGACGATCATGTCGTTGAAGTCTGGACACGACATGTACAGTACGGCTTTGGGTAGGCCCATGAGCCGGGTAGGCTTGTCGAAGGTCATTGTGAAGGCTGCGTGGGAGACGGGGCTGGTGTTGCTTTCGGAGTTGTAGGTTAAGGTGCCGGCCGTGCTTGGTGCATTGGCTTCAAGCTTGTTATCGGCGGAGAGGTAGAGGGTGCGGTAGTCTGTTCGTGGAATGGGGAAGTCTTCTTCGACGATGGGGTAGATGGCTTCTTTGTCGCCGTAGTTGAGCGACGACATGCGTACGCGCGGTGTGTTTTCCCAATCGTTCTTCTCGCCCTTTAGGTACCGGTCGAAGAAGGATGCGAGCTCGTCGATGGATTCTTGGACGGCCCATAGGTCGTACCACTCTTGATACGGGTCCCATCTTAACCACTTGTCTTTTGTGTCGACTTGCATCCAGCCGCGTATCGAGCCCATGGTATGCACGAAACTGGAGTAGGATGCGACGATGTAGGTTGGGATTCTGATGCTGGCAATGTCGGCGCGCTTGTCTGCCCAGTAGGGGTTCATGGTTGAGGAGCGACGGTACATCTCTTTGAAGTCTTCGAGTCCGTTCTTGCCCCGGATTACGTGCTCGGTTATGAAGTCGAAGAGGCCATTGTCCCAAGCTCCGCCACGGACGAACTGTTCGCGGTAAAGATCACCACAGGCTTCCCAGGGTGCGATGGCTTTGAGCGAGGGAGGTTGTGTTGCCGCGATGAACCATTGGACGATTCCGAGATGCGAGTTGCCTGCCAGTCCGATCGAGCCGTTACACCTGTATCATCGTTAGATCAGTGTTATCCGGAAGTTCGGTGCAAATCCTACCAGTCCATCTTTGCGAGCTCTTCGATCACGTCGTGACCATCCTCGCCTTCTTGCTTTCCCATAATGACAATGTCTCCATCTGAGTCTCCCGCACCTCTCGAATCTACGTTGACAACCGCATATCCTCGAGGAACGTATTCCGCCGGGTCGGGTCCTTCGAAGCGTTCAAGACCGCTGAGGCAGCCTTTCGGCACACCGCAGCCCCATTTGACCTGGATGATGTTAGTCTTTCCTCATGCAGAGTCTTTGTTCTGTGCGGTAAACACGAACCTTTGACATCATATCAATACCCGTATGTTTCTTGCCAAAAGGACTCCAGGCCACAATCGCAGGTACCTTCTCACTCCCATCGCTCCCAACTGGCCGGTAGATGTCGCAGTACAGCGTACATCCATCTCGTACTTTGACAGCGACGTCGTGCTCAGCGATCATATCTTCAGAGAGCGCGCGGGCGCCATCTCGGCTTTGGTACCCCTTGCGAAGCGTCTCTTTGCGCGGATTGAAGCCTTGGTAACCATTCTCACCCACCTTAGGCGGCTTGACAGCCAGATTGGCGACCTGAAAAGCAAGAGGCATAACTGCAGTATGAAAAGAGCGAACAGAGAAGATGTTGCGAGTGACGTGTGACAACATGAGAAGGAGGAGGCCGCATCGTGGTTTTGAAAAGAACCCATCAACGTTTGGTGGACTCCGTGGAAACCGCCCGACCGTTCTCGGCCGCGACACTTCTACCGAGTGACCTGCCTTTGTAAATCTACACACGGCTCTCGAGGTGTAGCGTCGGCATGTGGAGCGTTTCGAGATGCACATGCACGCTAAGGCTCGCCCGATCTCGACCGTGATGCAGTGAGCCGCAGGGTCCGCCCCATAATGGAGCTTGTCTGCCCCCGCAGGGAGCGGCCGTGGACGGGCGAGCCGGGGTAATGTGACCGAGAGGATTATAGAGGGGTGCGAGGTATATCAGTGGAGGAATATCTTGTGCCATCACCTCCGAATCCATTACTCCATCTCAAACTCATCAACTCATTGTATTGCGAATATGGCACCCTTCCTTGACGACAACGAGAACACGAGTGCTGCTCAGCAAAAGTACGGCGACTGGCGAGATGATTTCTACGAGAAGGGCTATGTCGTCCTCAAGGGCGTAGTGCCCAAGGAGCGGGCTCTGAAGTACCGCAACAAGATGATGGATTGGCTCGGTACTTTCCCCAACGACTTCGATATCAATAAGCCAGAGACATGGACCAAGGAGAATCTGCCCCAGAGCTTCAAGAACGGCATGTACCTCAACTACTGCGCTGCACATGAGAAGTATGTTTGGGAGGCTAGACAGTGAGAACTACTCTTCACCAACCATGCGTCGATCTTGGCGGCTAATGCTTTTGCGAATAGGGAGCCAGGTGTTCTAGCTGCGTTTGAGAAGTTGTGGAACACAAACGAGCTCATCGTGTCATACGACACTATCAACCTCACACTGCCGAATGCTGGCAAGATGGCTGGCAGCAAGCCATGGCCGCACGTCGACCAGGCGCCAGAGCGACAAGGCCTGTCGTGCGTACAGGGTATCATCAACCGTACGCCAGATCTCCTCTCTCCGAACCATCCCAAAGCACCCTACTAACACACTAAGTCTCCGAGGCCGGTCCCAAAGACGGCGGACTCGTCGTAATGGAAGGCAGCGCCAAGCTCTTCGACAAGTTCTTCAAGCAACACCCTCCGGACCGAACCAAGGGCCCCCTTGCCGCCCTCCACTACGACTTCTACCCCTTCCAAGACACCGACGTAAAGTGGTACGAAGACCAAGGCTGCAAGATGGTCAAGGTCTGCGCCGAGCCCGGCGATCTCATCCTGTGGGATTCGCGCCAGATGCACTACGCCGTGTACCCCGAGACGGACAACATCCGCACCATCATCTACGCGTGCTACACACCGGCAGCCATGGCGTCCAAGGAGGATCTGGAGAAGAAGAAGGAGATCTTCGAGAAGTGGGAGGCGACGACTCATTGGCCACATATCAATATCCATTCGCAAGGGAAGGCCAAGGTGGATGGGGAGATTGATCCGTGGGAGCGGACGGAGCCGCTTGAGAAGCCGGAGTTGACGGACAAGCTGCTTAAGCTGGCGGGTGTGAAGCCGTACTGAGAGGGACATAGTGTATGACTTTCTTAGGCAGAGACGAATTTGTATAGCGTTGTATAGAAATCATTCACATTTGAGCAAACACCTCGTCCCAGTCGTCAAAACCGTATGTTGCATTGAGTGTACTGCCAATCCCATCGAACATGTCGATATTCTCGTAGTTGCCGTGGTGCGCAAAGCCGTCCATTGGAGGCGCCGAGTTGGATAAGTCGTTGGTGTTGCTGTGATCAGCCATCGACAGCTGCTGCAGTAGTTCGTGTATCGTACGTGACGTTCCGGGAAGCTCAGTGTCGTGTCGTTCAAGCACGGGCAGAAGCCCCTCAAGTACAGCCGAGCCTTTCGCGGCATGGACAGCAACGGCAGAGTGCTTTCTCAGCTCAGTAAACGCCATTCTTAGAAGGTTGATGATGCGAAGTTTTGCGTCACCTCGATAGTCATGCGGGTTGGCAAGCATGTCTAACGATACGTATATAGCAGCTGCGACTGTTGACGCAGATATAACCCAAACTAATCTGTAAACCCTGGGAACAGGCTTCGCGTAGTAGTTCAGTATGTTGTTGGCAGACTGGAGAGCAAGCTGTCTGAAGTTTGGGTCGTCATCTGGATTCTCCGGTGACAACACACGAGCGATGGTCAGCAATAAGAAATCAATAACGTAGTGGATCTGATAGCGCTGGAATGGTATCCAAGGGTACTCTAACTCCCATATCCTATCATCTTCGTTGGCTGGGAAGTTTGGCGACAGGTGCAGAGGTAGGTCTCGCCGAACAGTCTGAACCTCCTCGATAGCTTTGATGAACTTGAGGTTCGTCTGATGCGTGTTGGCTTTGATGTAGATGTAGACTATGTAGGAGACACGGCACATGATGGAATGATAATGAGCCGGTGAAGGAGTAGCGAGATTTCCAGACTCGAAAGACGCAGGACTATCAGCCATGGGTATTCTGGGTAGTATGTAATCGTCTTGGCTGGTGAGGGTCGATACATGGCAGCAAAAGCTGGCGGGGGAAATTGATGGCGGTCTAGACCAACTTCCAAGCCTAGAGGGGTCAGTCAGATCAGTTGGGCCAAAGCGCACGTAACCACTACTTACCAATCCCGTATAACGCAAGCCCACCACAACCGACGCCCCATCTCTCGCTGCGAAGGTGATGACCACTCCGGTCTTTTGCACAGGTCTTTGGAGATGTTCACTTCATTCCCTAGCTTGTGCATATCAAGGCATCTTGCCATGTTGGTCGCGAAGCCAGTGATGAGCCACTCTCGCTGGTGTTCACCAAAGTTGGAATGACATAGTGTAAGTACTGACAGAGCCTGAACAACAGGGAGGGAAGGTGAGCCTGCAAACCCATATCTCTCCAACTCTTTCAGCGCAGCCTCATACCAGAGACGAGACGTATGTACTGCGATAGAGACAGGGTTGTCTAGTGGCATTCCTAGTTGAGGTAGCTGATTGACATCGGGTAGTTCGTCTGGGTTGGAATAGAGAATGCCCACAGCCAGGACAGCAAGGTAGACAACCAGCCAAGGTCTCCGTGCGCGATCGATGCCAGCACCGAGCTGCGTACTCTGCCAGAACTCTTCATGTTCTCCGAAGAAGACATCAGCATCCACGGCGCAGTGCAGCCAACCCAGCGTTTGGAGCGAGAAGGTAACGAGTTGGATACTAGCGTCTTTACTGGGAAGAAGCAGATAGATGGGATCCGCAGCAGGTTCGTAAAGTCTATCTATGAGATCCTTCTCGCCACCCTCACGCGCAGCATTGGTCGTGATACCGATGTCGAACTGTTCAAAAGCCGGGATCAAGTCCTCCAGGGAAGCCGACGGTGCAGAATAGTCTGTAGATTCGCTGGTGCGGCTATGAGCACAAGGCTTCGACAGCGCAAGAGCAGTCTCGAGCTCAGCAATCTGGGCGCGCAGGGCGCCTCGTTCGCGCAGGAGGTCCTCGAGTTGCACATCCTCCGCGCTGGCAGCATCGGAGTCGGCGTAGACGGTTAGCTGTCCCCTGACGCGGACGATCGGCCGGCGGCAGGAGTTTCCGGCATTGCGGCGCACGCAGGGCGCGCAGGGGGATTTCTTGTCGCAGCGGATTTTGCGACGGCTGCACTCGACGCACGAGCGGCTCACGCGCTGCGATGTCTTGATGCCGGCTTCGCTCATGGTGCGTGAAGGTGACGTACGTGGTGTGGGTGGTGAACATTTGCCGAGGAGCTTGAGGCTCAAAATCTCCAGGGCCTGTAAGTACACGGTACGCGCGTACCCCGCATGTCTCGTCTCGTGTCCCCCATGTCGTTCCCAGCTTTTCCCCCTGCCTGGACCGGGCTATCCCCACACCTGCATTCAGCTTAGCCCGCGCTCCCTCCACAATCCGTTCGCATACTTATTGGGCTGCGCGGCCCAGTGCGGGCGAGGTCCGGGGTTGCACTGCGCTGAGAGTCGTGTTCCAAGTCACGAACAAGGTGCCATGGCGCTGGTAGCTGCGTCCACTTCGGAGCTGGAGGTGTACAAATTCTGGGAAATGCCTCTCTGTTTCGAGGCATCAGCGGCTGTCCATCATGGCGCTTCACGACTCCAAGAACGAAGCCAGTGCTCACATTGAGATAGTCGATGCTCATAAGAAAGCTGCCAGACCGGTGGTTGGCACTATCAGATTGTACGACGAGGATGGCATTGTGCTGATCCCAACACCGAGCAGAGATCCCAATGGTAGCTCCAACCCATCAAAACCATCAAGACGAGGATCGCTAACGAAAATAGATCCTCTGAACCTGCCAAAATGGCAAAAGTACATCATCCTGATCATCGTCGGCCTCTACGCTGCAACCGGAAACCTAATGGCCAGCGGCATCACCGCCATCTTACCCATCGTAAAAGCCTCATACGGCGGCGACCCAAAGACCAGCGACCTTGCAACCTGGCCAGCCTTCTACATGGGCGTTGGCAACCTCCTCGCGATCCCTGTAGCCCATGCCATCGGCCGCAGGCCAGTCTATCTCTTGTCGACCATTGTGCTCTCCTTCGGATGTCTCTGGTGCGCCTACAGTGGAAGTCTGGAGTCGCACATCGCAGGCAGAAATGTCATGTCGATTGCTGCCGGCCAAGCTGAAGCGCTGTGCCCGATCATCGTACAGGAGATTTTCTACCTGCACGAGAGAGGCCATGTCATTGCGTGGTTCTGCGCGCTGCAGACGCTTGGTACAGCTGCGCTCATCGTAGCGAGTTCGTATCTCGCGAATGATCTGGGCTGGAGGTGGTGGTATGGTGTCTTTGGATGTCTGAGCGGAGCTATTGCAGTCCTCAGCATCATCTTTGTCGCGGAGACTAAGTATGAGCGCACGCTGGAGGCACTGAGTAAGTCCACCTACACCGCAACCCACAGTATCGCATGTATACTTACACACGCCAGACGGCCAAGGCATCGACGAAGACGGCACCCTCGTCCCCGTAACAACAAACACCAAGCGCCCCCTCGACACTGTCAACTATGCGCCCCGCAGCTTCGTCAAAGACATGCTCCCCTGGAAAGGCCACGCCCACTGGTCCGAAGCCATATCCTGCTGGAAGCAAATGTTCCAAATCATCTGGTTTCCCAACATCCTCTGGCTCATTTTCATCAATTCCGCCGCCCTCGGTATTTACGTCCTCATGTCCGCCCTCTTCGCCGGCGTCCTCGTCCAACCGCCCTATCTCTGGAACTTCGATATGTTGGGCTATGTTTTCGCGGGACAGGTCGCAACGGCTGTTGCAGTCCCGCTCTTCTGCGGTTCCCTGAGCGATTTGATCGTCAAGACGATGAGTAAGAGGAATGATGGTGTGAGTCAGCCGGAATACCGTCTCCTCGCTCTTATCATCCCGCTGGTGTCTATCCTCATCTCGACCATCATCTACGGTATGACGGCGCAGAACCCAAACAACTGGAGCTGGGCTGGCATCGCCGTCACGCTAAACGTCGAGTACTTTGGTTTCGTCGGTATTGTCGTTTCCAGTTTCGTGTACTGCATGGATGCTTATCCTCAGCGCATCGATGCTGCGCTCGTTCTCATCTGCTCGCTCAGGGGCTTCATTGGCTTTGGAATCTCGTTCGGGTCGATCGCTTTCGTTGAGAAGGCTGGGTATGAGGGTGCGTTCAATATCTGCGGCGGCATTGTGGCCGCACTGATGTTCTTGGGCATCTTTGTTTATCTGTTTGGCGAGAAGATCCGCAGTATGACGCAGAAATGCGCTCAGGATGAGTAGTCGACGAATTGGAGGAGGATACAGTCACCTTGGACGTATTAGCGTTCCTGGATCGAACAGTGCTGCTTCTTTGATTATGAGTAATGAGAATGAATCTGCAATTATCCCAATGACATCGCTCTGTGCTTCAGTTAGCAGTCAACCGTGCGGGATCAAACTGACTCAGATATATCACAATGCACGATCGCTATTGAGCAAAAGTATATTGAACATGCTCTTGACCGTATGGAAGGGTATCGCAATAACTCATTGAGTCGCCGCTCTGTAAATGGCCAAAACTCCTGTACTATGCCCATGCCGTTGTACGCCTTCCATGCTATTACTCATACATCGTCATCGTATAGACGTGATTGATGGCGTTAATTCTCTACAAAGTCCTCTCTCATGTCATCGTCCACCTCATGTTCTTCGTAAGCATTCACAAGGAACGGGTGGTGGAGCGCTTCTTCTGCTGTGATGCGCTTCGCAGGATTGCATTCCAGTAGGCGGTACAAGAACTGGACAGCCTCCTTCTCATCGTCATCCAGCTCCCTCTTGGGTTGTGTCTTGTCGCCTGTGCGGCCTGTGCACCAGAGTATTATCTTCTCCAGACTGTGCCCACCCTCGCTATAGCTGGGTACATTGGTCTCGAATACCTGACCGTGCAGGAGGGCTGTCTCTCGCATCTTCTTTCGTCCGAAGATGGTCGTGATCTCGAGGAGCGCATCGATGTCGTCTGCACTGTGGAAGAAAGGGAACCGCTTCGAGAGCATGGTGAGCAGGATGACACCGACACTCCAGACGTCGATGGAGCAGGTCTGTTGGGTGCACTTTAGGAGTACTTCGGGCGCACGGAAACCACGGGTGCCCGCGCGGTTGGCACGACGGCTGTTTCGTGTATCGTTCTTGGGGTATGCGGAAGCGGTGTGGCCTGCTGACTGTGTCTGCGCGTAGACACTGTGTGATATCCTGTATCGACGGTCTTCCTCCGACATGTGGCAGGCGCAGTTGTGCCAGTCTGTGCCCTCTCGCTCGGCGAGGCCAAAGTCAACAAGGACTCCACGAGACTGCGAGGTATTGTAGAGGAAATTGGTAGGTTTGACGTCGCGGTGAATGATACCTTTCTTGTGTACGGCTGCGAGTGCAGTGAACAGGCTCTTGAAGTAACAGCGCATGTCGGAAATGCCCATGTCGCGGTAGTAATCGCGGAAGTCACGGTGCTGGTAGTAGGGCAACACAGCGACGACCTGGTCCTGGTGGCGGAAGGCGGTGATGAGCGGACATACTGAATCCGCCTCCCTCAGATCAAACAGTAATTCGAGCTCGTTGAAGATGCGTATCGGACTGCTCGTGACGTAGATCTTCTTGATTGCGACGTAGCGGGGCTTTCTGGCAGGTTGCCTCTTGTGTGCTGGGAGAGATTTAGCCTCCTCGCGCTCGTCGATGTCCCAATCGTTGTTGTACTTGGTGTATTCGAGATCCTCAGCCTTGTAGACGGTGGAGAAGGTTCCTGTGGAAAGTGTGAGTCCAGCTCGCTACCCTGCATATTGCAAGCCAATGATGTCGGACATACCCTCTCCAATGCGGTTAATCAGTCGGAACCGCTTGCTGATTCCGACAAATGTCTCCTCGAAGCGTGCCATATCTTCCTGGACGGAATCTTCGACTTCTTCGTCGCTGCTATCGGCAGTGCGCCCGCTTTCGTCGAGCGGATTCATGCTTTCGTCCTGTGTCTCTTCGGCCTGGTCCTCTCCCATGTCGTCCTCATGGACGTCGATTGCCTCTGCATGACGCAGTGAAGTGCGTGCCTTTGCCATGGTGCGCGTGGCCTGTGATGTTGTGTTGAACGATGCGTGAATCTTTCTTCGCGGTATGGCGGCCGACGCGTTGGACCCTGGCTGCCTAGGCCGAAAGGGGAAGACTGATGGCAGCCGCTCGGACCATCAACAAACAGCTGCAACGCGCCTTCCTGGGTCGGTGCATGTGCGACGGTTGCGGCCGCATCTTAACTTTCACGGCGCAAACACCCCCACCCTAGCCCCGACGCTCATTTCGTCGCTTCTTGTTTCTGATTTCTGATTTCCCCAAGCGACTCTGATCATCATGGACGCCCGGGTGGATTTTGACATCAATGAGGCGGTTAAGCTGTTCGACAGCGATCCCTCCGCGATACCCACCCCCGAGGCCCCGCAGGCGCTGCAAGACTGCGAAGATGAGCCAGAATCGCTGTCGTCGCCCGGATTGATCAACAGCGAGCTGAATCCTGTGGTTGATGCCGTGGCAGAGAGTCCAGATGCGATTACTCGCAGCTCTGTGTTTGACACGCTGCAGTTTCTCTTGAAGTGCGTCCCCGCATATCCAAAGGATGCAAAACAATATGACACGGAACCTAATTCTAAACTGTTCCGACTATCTAGGCACTCGTCGCAAATACCGCCAGCCATCCTCAGCAAGATCCTCGACCTCATCTCCTCGGCGCTGTCCACGCAAACCGACATCATCCACGCCGACCTCGAAGCCGAAGACCAAGATGCGATACCACACCACAAGAACCTGCTGGAGATGTACGGCTTCCTTCTCCGATGGACCATCTCCGCCGTCGAGACCAGAGCGCTGGAGAAGTCTGCTTCCGCACCAGCAGCGCGGGGGCGGGGTAAGGCCACAAAGACGAAAGCGGGAGGCGGCAAAGACGTCGTCTGGGATGCCTCAGCGCAACTAGAGACGGCTCTCGACCGCATGAGCAAGGTGCTGAGGCTCAAGCTGGGCCGAATCTTCGTTACCACCTCGGAGCGAGATACCTTCATCGGCCTCTTCACCAAGCCAGTATACCACATCCTCGAGAACGAGGCAAGAGTCAAGAGCAACGCCATACGGAGTCACTGCTTCAGGGTTCTGTGCTTTGCCGTCAAGTCTCACGGACATGCATACAGTAGGTAGAAGAGGACTTCGACAAGTGACTATGCTAATACCCATGGCAGCTGCTCAGACGTCCATCAACCAGAGCTTGACATACTTCGAGCATCTCGCAGAGCCCATGGCCGAATTCCTCTTCACACTAGCCGACGCTTTCGACTACCCACAGCTTACCGAAGACGTGTTGAAGGACATCAGCAGCAAAGAATTCAGTTCTACCGATCTGAAGGGGCCAAAGTCCATCTCGACCTTTCTTACCAAGATCTCCGAACTCACGCCGCATCTTGTCATTCGTCAAATGACGTTGCTCGCCAATTTACTGGACAGCGAGTCATATACCCTCCGTTGCGCTCTGATTGAGGTGTGCGGAAACTTGATCATCATGCTTAGCAAGCTGAGCCAGGACGACCGCAGCGAGCAACACAAGCAACAAATTCGCATCTTCTTCGACGTACTACAGGACCGCTTCCTGGACATCAACCCCTACTGCCGTGCTCGAGTGATGCAAGTCTACATCAAACTCTTGGATCTAGAGCAGAAATACCCCAAGCGCAGGCAGAAGGTCGCCGAACTCGCTGCACGTAGTCTGGAAGACAAGAGCAGTAATGTACGTCGTAACGCAGTCAAGCTGCTCGCGAAGCTCATCTCAACCCATCCTTTCACTACCTTTGATGGTGGATTGCTATCGACCAAGGATTGGGAACAGAGGTTGGCCGATGTCGACGCTCAGATCGACGCCTTACAACCCCCGGAAGAGCTACGCGAGCGTGCCCCTGGTGAACAGACTGTAGACGAGACTCTATTGCAAGACGCAACTCAGGCCGATAACGATGAAGCACCCCAACATCCATCCGAGATGTCCGAGGAAGAGAGAGCTGCTGTAATTGCAAAGGCACAGAGAGACGCTGCGACCGCGCAAGAACTGGAAAAGTTCCAGGCAGTACGCAAGTATCTGATGGAAGCGCTCAAATTCATCGAAGTGCTCAACGACGCTGCTGAGGTGGTCACTCAATTACTGTCGTCCAAGAACAAGAGCGAAGTTATCGAGGCCATGGACTTCTTTGTGACAATCGACGCATACAAGATCGCGAATGCGAAGCTCGGTATCCGGAGGATGTTGCGTCTTATTTGGACCAAGGGCAACAGCGACGAAGGCAAGGGTGTTCAGACGCATCTGTTGGAGTGCTATAAGGGCCTCTTCTTCGACGCGCCACCTGGCTTTGATGCCAATGCAGTTGCTAACTACATCTCGAAGAACATGATCAGTCTGACATTTGGCACAACCCCCGCTGAACTCACATCACTCGAGCAGCTCCTCAGCACCATGATGAAGCAGGGGCTAGTCAACGCGTTGGTTATTCAGAAGCTTTGGCAAATATATGGATACCAGAAGAAAGACATTTCCAAGAACCAGCGCCGTGGAGCAATCATCGTTCTGGGTATGCTCGCACTCTCGGCTCCACAGATCATTGTCGAGGAGATGGAAGTATGTCTGCGCATTGGTCTCGGGGAGCTCGGCCGACGCGATTTGGGTCTGGCTCGATACACCTGTATAGCTCTGCGCCGCATGAGTCCACCACCTGGAAGGCAGGCCTCGAACGACAAGCCAGTACAGACCGTCAAGCTTCCAAACGATCACGCAGTTCTTGTCAGACTGGCCGCCATCACAGAGATGCCATCTGATAGCAAGGAATGGTTTGGCGTTGCAGAACAAGCCATCAGTGCTATATACGTCCTCTCAAAACATCCCGACGTTTTGTGCTCCGAGATCATCCGCAAAGTCACAAAGCGTGTGTTTGCGGGACAAGCGAAAGCTGAGTCACGGCCGACGTCTAGTTCCAGTGCTGCGGAACCAATGGAGGTCGATCAGGGAGATGAGGAGATGCCCGACGCGCCTGCGGTTGAGGAACCACAACAAAAGAAACAGAATTCGGCGCTTGCATTATCGCAGCTGCTTTTCGTTGTCGGTCACATTGCCATAAAACAAATCGTCCACTTGGAGCTTTGTGAGCTTGAGTTCAAGCGCCGCAAGGCTGAGAAAGATAAGATGGCACCGACACCTAGGAAATCCATGTCTTCGTCCGGACCCACACCGCTCAAGAAGGGGCGGAAGCGGGGCTCGACCAAAGAACCAACGCCAGCGCCTGAAGAAGACGATCTAGAGCTCATGGCGGGAACGAACGAAGATGACTTCACAGAAGCCATTGCACACGTTCGTGAACGTGAACTTCTATATGGTCCACAGTCTCTCCTCGCAAACTTCGGACCACTCGTAGCAGACATTTGCGCCAACAACACGTCGTATAACCACCCAACGCTACAAGCACAAGCTGCACTGTGCTTAGCCAAGCTCATGTGTGTCAGCTCAGAGTACTGCGAGACCAACCTCGGTCTGTTACTCACCATCCTCGAACGAAGCCAAGACGCCGTTGTGCGCAGTAACCTTGTCGTCGCACTCGGCGACATGGCCGTATGCTTCAACCATCTCATCGACGAGAACACCGACTTCCTTTACCGCCGTCTGAACGACGGCGACCCAAGCGTCAAGCGCACATGTCTCATGACCCTAACCTTCCTGATTCTAGCCGGCCAAGTCAAGGTCAAGGGCCAGCTAGGCGAAATGGCCAAGTGTCTCGAAGACAGCGACAAGAAGATTGCAGACATGGCACGCATGTTCTTCACCGAGCTGTCCACCAAGGACAACGCTGTGTACAACCAGTTCATCGACATGTTTAGTGTACTCAGCGCCGATTCTGGACTGAGCGAGGATGCTCTGAAGAGGATTGTCAAGTTCCTGGCTGGGTTTATCGAAAAGGTACGTTTGAACCATCTGACCGCGTTGATGCACTTTATGCTTACTTTGATTCAGGACAAACATGCCAAACAGCTGGCAGCGAAGCTCGCGTCCAGGCTACCGAGAGCGGAGAGCGAGAGGCAGTGGAACGATGTCGCGTATGCATTGAACCAGCTTCAGCACAAGGACGAGGATATTCAGAAAATGGTCTCGGATGGTTTTAAGGTTGTGCAAGCGAATGCTTAAGCTGGCGTCTTCGTCTTTCACCTTTCTTGTTCGAGTCGAATTGTTTATGACTGTATGAAAGCGATGATACCCTGGGTTGGGTTGCGTTGGATCGGGGGGTGGTAGATAAGCTTTGGCGTTTGGAATTACATGGGATATTTATGCAAGTTTTATATCACCGCAACGACGATAAAGTAACACATAAAGCGTATTGTTTGAATCCATGCGACACACTCTACACTACTACTAATCCATCTCGTGCACCAAGAACGCCCGTAGATGCTGCTAAAAAGCCAACTTTTGGACCAACACATCATAAAAACCACAGTATACGCCGATGAAAATGCGTAAAAACAAACGTCCTCTCGTGTCGTTGATCCTTCTCATACCCCACTAATGTTCCTTCCTTTACGGACCAACATTGAACTTCAGCCTCACACCCATACTAGCCAGCTCAATGTCCAAAAACTTGAGCACACCCGGCACCGCCACGACCGCCACATCCTCACCACCACTATACCGCATGCCCTGCGCATCCATCCACAAATCGGCTTTACTGCTATTCGCATCCGCCAGCACCGCACACCGCCTACACCTAATCGTGAGATCCTTGCCGCTCCTATCCTTCTTACGGCCGTACTCAGCAACGGTAGGTGTAGTGCTGAGGAAAGAGCCGCAAGTACGGCATATGGAAGCTTTCGTGTAGTCGGAACAGTTCATCAAGCGGTCTTGCAGCAGGAAGGCTGTGCCGTGGGCAAGCAGGGAGTCGCGCTCCATTTCTCCGACACGGATACCACCGCCCTTGCTGCGTCCTTTGATGGGTTGGCCGGTTGTGGAGACGACGGGGCCGGTGGTTCTGGCTTGGAACTTATCGTTTACCACTAGGGGTGTTGTTAGTAAACGCGTGTGAAGAATTGTGATTTGGAAATACTTACTGTGACGGAGACGTTGGTAGTAGACCACACCGATGTAGATGTCTGCGTGGAGTTCTTGGCCCGTGATACCTGAGTACATGGGCTCGTTGCCGTAGTAGTTGTAGCCTGCCTTTTTAAGCTGGTGGCCGAAGTAGTCGACGGCCGTATTTTGCTCGTCGAAACGGAAAGGCGTTGAATCTTGGGCCATGCCGTGGAGTGCTCCGGACTTTCCGGCTAGCGACTCGACGAACATACCGATTGTCATACGTGAGGGGAAGGCGTGGGGGTTGATGATGACGTCGGGTTGCATGCCGCTCTCAGAGAAGGGCATGTCTGGTGTGGGGAACTTTTGACTGACGACACCCTTCTGTCCGTGACGGGAAGAGAACTTGTCACCGACAACGGGAGAACGGGGAATGCGCAGTTTTATGCTGAGCTTTTGGCAGGGTTGGGTTCCGTCCTCGGCTCCGATGATGCGGACCTCTTCCACGAAGGCGAGTTCATCGTCCTTGTATTTGAAGAACTGTGTTTGGCCGTCGCGATTAACGTACTCGCCGGTCGCTGCGTCGTACGAAACAATGTGCCATGCGGCAATAACGTCGCCGTGGCGCAGCATGGTGCCAACTCGTGGAAGACCATCCTCGTCGAGAGTCTCTTTGGATGCGGCCTTGACCAAGCCCTCAGGGGCAAACCCGAACAACTTGGTCACTGACCTCGCTGCACGGCTCTTTCGGTTGCCTTCCTCGAGGTCGCAGATCTTTGTCTTGTATACGGTTCCGTGGCCAAAACCGCGCTCGTGTGAAGATTTGTTCAAGATCATAGCGTCGTCCATGTCGTATCCGGTGTAGGAGATGACAGCAACGACGGCGTTCATTCCGTTGGGAAAGTTGTCCATGCCGTATTCGTTGTGAAGCGGAGCTCTGGCGATTGGTGTTTGACCGGTCTGTAGGCGGTAGGTCTTGTTATCGGTTCGGTATGCTGTAGCAGTTCCTGGTGTACCCATCGATTGTTTACCCATCTGACACTGGTACATGTTACGGGGCGATTGGTTGAAATCCGAGAAAGGCGTTTGGTTGGCGATGATACTGAAGATGTTCGTTGGATCAAACTCGACGTGCGTCGAATCGCCAGAAACGATCTCGGCATCTGTGCAGGCGATGGACATGTAGGGTTGCTCAAAAGGTCCTACGTAGTCGAGCTTGCCGAGAGGCAGGTACTTGACTGGTCGGTACATTCGAGAGCTTTGTGAGAAGAGGTAGACGCCGGGGTATTGGCCGCCGTTAGATCCGGGAATGAAACCAATCTCCATCTCTAATGGCACGTTGTGCGAGCCTTCGACCTTCCAGTAACGGAGCGTATCGGCGATGGTCTTGGCCTGCTTGGGCGAGCAGAAGCCTAGGACACGACCGTCCAGTTGTACAACCACACTCGCTTCGAGAGAGGCGGCTGACTTGCTCGATACGCCTAGTTGTGCAACAAGGTTGGGAATCGTCGAGACATCGACGTTGGAAGTCGCGATCTTGCACTTGTGCGCGAAATGGTTGAGAAGTCCACAGGGCGATCCATCCGGAGTATGTACAGGGCACATGAATCCCCACGCCTCAGGAAGTAGCTTTCGAACAGTTGTTGTCTTCAGTTGTGCGAAGAAGGCACCTCGATGCACCATCCTAAAATGTGAAATGAAACGAGGGAAGTTCAGTTTCTCAGCGACCACGACGTATCCAGAAGTTTGCTGCAGATCCAGACCCGTTGGACTGACAAGATTACCAGTACTGAGGAAGTATTCCAAAGCTTGTCCGAGGTTCATGTTTGTCCGTCGGAGGATCTTGGAGTTCCAGTCCTTGGTGAAGTCCTGGGATGTGAAAGGCTTGTACTCGTTCTTCCTTCCCCACTCCCTTAGCACAAGTTGGAAGCTGTTCAGCCACTCTTCTAGCTTCTCTTTCAAGATCATGCCGTAGAGTTGTCCGCCTAGTAGGATCTCTTGGAATTGTACAGCATCGGGGTTGTCGACAGCGCAGTCGCCTTCGACCAAAGCGTAGAGTTTCCTGGTCATGAAGAGAAGCATCCTGAACTTGTCGGCATCCTGAGCTGGTGTGACGTTGACGCAGCCTAGATGGGGTAATACGATCTTGCGGAGGAATTCCGTACCGGCCTCCTCGTCGGCGACGTCGGCGGGCAGACCAAGTACAATCTTGAACTTTCCACCCAGATATGCCCGCGTCTTCGCCTTGGTGTGTAGCCCGTAGACCTTGTATGTGCGGAGTAGCAGCTCTACTCGGTCGGTGACGAACTGCTTCTCTTCAAGACCTTCGGAACCGGCTGCACCGACCAAACCCTCGAAAATTTCGCGGTCATTCGTCTCGACCAGAGCCTTCATCACCATGACGATGGGAACCAGGTATTCTGACTTGCGCCATGAGAAACGGAAGTTGACGTTGCCGTCGCTGAGGTAGTGCAGGGCGTTCGTTTGCGAGGTCTGGTCGGGTCGCATCGATCTGAGCGTGATACCGAACTGGGTGTAACCGGGGCCACGGTTGGTGAAGGCGCCGCGCTTGATGGCCATGGGGTAGTTGCGACGGTTGACCTGGAGGAGACGGATAATCTTCTCGATGCCGTTGACGATGAAGTAACCACCCAGCTCGTCAGACTCTTCTTTCGCCTTGACCAACTGCGCTGGCGACATGCCTTCCAGCTGGCAGCGGTTCGATCTCAGCATGACGGGTATGCCGCCGAGATCCACAACATCCTCGTTCCAGTCTCCGTTGTTGACCCTCCACTCCAGTCGTGCGCGCATCTTGCCGCGGTATGACGCATGTCGTTCGCGGGCCTCGGCGGGATAAATGTTGCGGTTCTTGAGCGCGACCTTGTTCGAAGGTGGCAGAATGGGCTTGTCGAGGAAGACCTCTGATATGCGCAGGTAGAGACGGTTCCTCTGGCCTGCGTCTTCGGGGGCTGCGTATGGGTCGCCATCGACAAAGATCTTGGTGCCAATGTCTTTTATGCCCTGGTCAAGTTGGCCGCCGCGGGTGAAGATGGTGTTGAACGAGTTGATGTGGGGATCGACCGCAGCAGCAAGCATAGGGTATGCCGTCTTGTCCTTGGGGGGGTTGCGGAACAGGTCGTGCCGCCTGAGGGTATCAAACTGCGCATGTTAGCCTGGTATAGTTGTGTCGAGAGTGCTCTCTTGCCTTGGTCGACCATTCCTGAGGGCTGTCGGCCCGTGCGGGAGGCGCCATGATTCCGTATGCGGCTTGTACGGTGAATAGATGATTAGGGCGCAATCTGTAGCGGCATGCGCAGTATAGTATTAAAGAATGTGAGTGTCGCGGTCGCAAGCTGCAGCGCGATTGAAGATGCGACACTGCGCTCGAACTTTTTTACTAGACTAGTCCGATCCATGGTTGGGCCACCCCTGCTAGCGCGCTGGCCAAAGTCACACGCCGCGGCGGCTCCATCACTCTGCTGCAGCGTGAACCACTCCGGGCTTTCCTTAGGGCGGCACAGCTCTGCTCTCTACTTCCTCACGGCATTGCCTGCGCTCTTTGCCCCCCGACGCATCGAAGGAGACGTTGTCCATTTGCCTGTTGCTGTTGCTAAGACTACGGCGATCGCGCCTACTACATGCCCCGCAGCAAGGATCAAGGTTCCCAGACTTCCCTCCATCGCCCGTACATCACCACTCCTCCCGACCAGACGACAACACCACCGAGTCAGCCCCTGCCCTGACGACGGCCATGGCGAACCTCTTCCGCCGCATCTACGACTGGCTGCTCCGCCTGTTCTGGTATGCCTACCTGTCCTTTTCTACTGACCCCAATGCCCACCTGGCTGCCTGATGCGCCATTTGATACTCGCCCAACTGTTCAGCTTCCGCCCAAGAAAAAGCAAACTCACGGGCGACGATAACATGGCGCTCCTGCTGACATGCGATACCATCCAGGGCGACTGAGATGGACATTACCATGATCGGGTTGCAAAACGCTGGCAAGACTTCGCTGTTGAGAGTTCTGGCGGTGAGTATCTTCCTGATGCGGAAAGACCCTCCTGCATCAACATCATCAACTTTGATGACTGCGAGCTGACCCATCTGTTCTAGGGAGGAGAGTTTACTGTCGAGTAGGTCTACATCCGTCCCGAGTTGCGCAAGCCGGCGGCGACGTTGTTTCATCCGTGTCCCGATGCTACTGCTTTGCGCAACCTCGGGCGCCATCGTAGTCGGGCCCTGCGCTGACTGGCTCTAGCTCCATCCCGACGGTTGGCTTCAATATGAAGCGTGTCCAGAAAGGTCATGTAACCTTGAAGTGGTGAGTGCCTTCCATCTTCTCCCTGGTCACGCATGTCCGGCTCTTGCAGCGCCAAGCCCAGCCTTGCGGGGTGCAGCGCAATCTACTAGCCTCGAGGCGCACCTGCTGACCAGCGGCAACAGTTGGGATCTCGGAGGCCAACCTAGGTTCCGTTCCATGTGGGAGCGATACTGCCGCGGTGTGAACGCTATCGTGTACGTCTGCTCTCATGTGATGGTGGGGTGTCGCTTATCGTCATAGGTTCATCGTCGACTCCGCTGACAAGGAGGCTCTACCCGTCGCTGGCGAGGAACTGAAGCTCCTACTGGAGAAGCCTGCGCTGGAGGGCATTCCTCTTCTCGTCTTGGGCAACAAGTCCGACTTGCCCAACAAGCTTTCCGTCGACGAGCTGATCGAGGCGCTGGACCTCAAATCAGTGTCGCACCGGGAAGTGAGCTGCTACGGCATCAGCGCAAAGGAGGAAACCAACCTCGATGCCGTTCTCCAGTGGTTGATTGCCCGAGCCAGCAAGTGAGGTATTATGTTGTTCGTATTCGGTCGACGTAACGTGACCGCGACGGTCAGGTGCCGCTCGCAACGCATTCGACTGGGTTTGGTGTTTTCGCAACTTCACGACGCCGACGTGCCTACGTTCTTACGAATTACGGTCGTCAGCTTTACATGACATCTTTAATGATTCTTACGACTTGATGGAAGAAAAGACGGGCAGATCGCTCTGCAGGCTAGCGATGGCCATTCCAGTTCCCCAGCTCGACACATTTACTTCTTCTCATATCATTATGACGGCGACTGCCCCTTCCCCATCCTGTATCATCCTCTTTGTTTCGATTTCCAGCGAAGACGTAGCGGCTAAGAAAAGACGGAAGATTTTGGTCCAGGTATGATTGACATGTATGGTTGCGCGCGCTTCGTCTCTTGTTCGGCTCCATGGGGAGTGACCTGAGTTGCAGCGGTATAATGGTATCCTCGTCTCTGTCATGTGTCGCCAATGCTGTCCTCGTGCTCGTGACTTTCGCGTGCCTCGTGTGCAGGTGCGCGGCATCCAGCTTGGAATTGACAAACTGTTTGGACTGATGTTTGTCGAGGACTCCAGCGCAATTGCGTGCGAAGGCTTGTCGAGGCTCGTGGTGACTCCTCTCTCCAGCGGCATGGTCTTCCAAATCCCGTGTTGCACGCAGCTCAATGACTCCGGTACATGGTAGCGCCGCGGAAGTAGCACCTCGCGCCAAACATTGCAACGAAAAGAACAAGTCACCGCGACGCCGGTGGGGGAAAGAAGAAGAGGATCAATGCACCGAAAGGAAAGAAGAGAACAAACAACTAAATTATTCGCACAACTCACGCACCGCGCTGGCAGAAAAACGGGGTGGGACCCAAGCAAAATCCATGGCCATGAACAATTGAACAACTCATCCTGCATTAGCGCCTCCCAGGGAATCCTGAGCAGAGCCCGTCTGATTGGTCAGACGGCGGCGACAGCAATGCGAACCCTTGTCGCAGAGCTGGGAGTGGAATGGCAGGATGGATTGGCAGCCGATGAGCTGGAGGGGTGCACGGGGAAGTGGGTGGGATGTTGCGATGGGGATGGGGATGGTATGGATTGAGAGTTCGTGGCGTCGGGGACGGTGGGTGTGGCGCTGAGGGTGAGGGGTGGGGTGGGGTTAGGGTTGATGGGGTTGAGGTACAGTACTTGATGCTACGTTTGTGAGGAAGTTTGCACGGAACGCCAATTGTGAGAGGATTGCGTTGCGAAGCATTACATGTTGAAGCATCCGGCAAGATGTAATGTGGTTGTTGATAGTTAATTCTGTCTGGAAGACTCACGCGGCATCATCATCACTGAAGACATAAGTCGCAAAGATTCTAGTTAGACAACCTTGGTGATACAAAGAACACACCACCCTCGATTACACACCTCAAGTACCGTACAAGACGTGCAATGTACCCATCTCACGATGTCAACGGCTGAACGACCACGCAACGCAAAATCTCATGCGCACTGCTGACCCGAGCAAAGAGCAATGTCTCGGAACCACTGGAACCAAGAAGAGGCTGAAATACGTACCCTCCGCCCAGACTCGACAACAACATTGCGAAAGCAACAGGCGCAGCAGCCCTCGTGATCCCCAATAACCACCGTCGGCCGACCAAACTCCTTCCAAAGTCTTACCCTACTAATCAAAATCCATCCGAACACCATGCGCAGCACGACATTTCGCCGCACAATCCTCCCATCTCATCTTCTCGAACAAGCTAGAACCCGGGTAGGCCGTCATCCATCTCCACTGCGCCTCCTCACCCACAATCAGCAGTACACGAGTACCAAAAAGCCTCTCCAAGCTACCCAATAAGCCCAAAGCACGCATCGTAATCGTCACCAACTTGGCCCTCCCGTCTCCGCTTTACCCGTTTAAAGCCTAGAATGCGGGCCCTAAGCCATACTCAGGGCAGCGTTCTTGGCTGAATTGTGGCTGAGCACCAACGCCCAAAGACACATCATGTCCGTGTTGAGCGGATATCGTCATAAGCAGTCAGCCAGAACCCTGTTCTTCCTGCGGATTCGTTCCATCCCATCTCCGTCGCATCTTTCTGAACTTCTATTATTTCCAGCAATTGAAACAATCGTCGCATATCTCTATAAAACACAGATTTGAATATCGATCATGGTAGACCTCGAGATCGCGCATCCGCACCACACTCCCTACCGTACGAGACAGTACTACGGGCCAGATTATGGCGACAGGTACGTTGAATTCCATGCGCTCATCGTCGTCATCCTCCATCTCTCCTCGTCCATCATTCTCTGCAAAGTGGCTGTGCGACACACTTTAGCTGTGCAGCGGCGCAGTTAGTCCATGAATTTTCTGGGGAAAAGGCACGCTTGGTGGATCAACGGATCGGCTTGGTCCTGGCTTCGCGTTGGTGCAGACGGGTGTTTGCGACAGACGACGTCACAACGTCACTGCGCCCAGCCTGGCGCCCGCATCACTCGGCATCTGCGTACTGCTAGATGGCCTGCCTTGTGTGTGGCCCTTGCCACGAGTTTTCTTGGACTTAATACGCTGCTTCCGTTCTTTTGTCTCTTGTTCTTCAACCACTTGAACGTATCACACTTTCATCACTCCACTTTTTGCGCTTTCGTACCAAGTACACTCGCGCATCACACTACTGTCAATTGATCGAGAGACACTTTGCGACGCGACACACAAACACACGAACATAGCTTCTAACACGCCATGGCTAGGACGTGCTATAGCAACAGCCGGGGCTACTACCGCTGCAATTCAGCATGGAATAACTGGGTTCGCTGGGTCGTCCTCGTAGTCGTCGTCTTGGGCTTCCTCCTCCTCTTCGTACTATGCTCGTAAGTCCCCCAACCATCCATCTATCCACCTCTCCTCCATCCCTTCCTTTCTCCAACCCACTCACCCACCCATCCCATCCACCCACACCCAACCGCCCAACACCACCTCAACCCCCCCTTCTGACACCCCACACAGCTGCCTAACCGCCCGCCGCCGCCGCAAAGCCGGCCGCCAACCCTTCTACGGCACAGGCTGGGCCGCGCGCCCCGGCAACAACAACGCCTACGGCCAAAACACCACTGCACCCTACTACAACAATCAACACAACCCCGCGCCGCCTTACTCCGCCGCTACCACCAATAACAACAACGGAGGTTACTACGGCGGCGGAGGCGCAAACCAGGGCTACTACGGTCAGCAAAACGGCGTCGAGCTGCAGAGTCCGCAGCCGACGTATGGAGGCGGGTATGCGCCGCCGCCGGGGCCGCCGCCGGCTAAGGTTTAGGGAGATGAAGAGATGGGAGATGGTAGGGAGATGAGGAGATTGAGATGGGCTCGATAAATTGAGTCGAGCTTGAAAGGCGTTACGGATACCGTGAGGCTTGATTCGCGTTACGACTTGAGATGAACTCGCGAGGAGGGAATAGGATGGTTTCCTTCATTGAATCACACGCTTGATACCTCTTTTACGCTTAATGCTATTAGTTCTTCTTCTGTTGTTCATGTGGAAGTTGTAATCTACCATTATACGGAATACTAAGACTTCCTACACCGCAGACTGCTCAGGATGCCTGTTCGTGCACACGTGTTGCTCATTATAAGATTAACGCATGAACAATGCAGCTAGCCCAGTACGGATTTCCATCATCACATTGTGGTCGCGGGTGTTCAAGGATAAAAGCTGCATGTATTCATTCCATCGATTCACGTTGCATCCGCCTCCCATTTTCAATACTCTGCGTAGTTCCGTCCAACTGAACTCACAGGCAACACCAGACATTCGTAAAAAGAGTATATGAACACGCTAAGCATACACCTTTTCAAACGATCCTGCAATGCTACCTATTCTCCAAGCCCTGATCTCTCACTTCCAACCAATCTAACCCACCAACCTCAAACCACTAGCCGGCGCACCGATCTGTGTGATGCCGTCGATCCTGCACACTGTGCCCTTGTACCTGGCGTGGTACTTGGCACCGCTGTATGGGCTGGTGACAGAAGGCATGCCGCTGTAGATGGGTGTGAAGCTAGCCGCGCAAATATCGAAGTCGGCGAATTGGTCAAAGTCAATCTCGATGACGTCGCTGGGGTTTCTCTCGGCGACCGTCTTGACACGGTTAGCTTGCTCCTTCATCTTGGCGTTGCCGGTGCGGTCGAGCAAAGCGTTGGCAAAGTTCAGCGCCGTGTTGAGCTGCTTGTTCTTGTGGGCAAACATCATGGCTGCTGAGAGAGGGATCGAGTTGTGGGGACCCTCAAGGTCTGGGACAGTGAAGTAGGCAGAGAGTTCGAGGGCGCGCTTCTTGTCCGCGTCGGAGAGGGCGGAGATGTCGGTAGCGCCGTTGAGCAGTTTGCGGCGCTCCAATTCGATAGACATAGCAAGAATGTATTGCGTCGCCGTGTTGATTGCCTTCTTAGCCTACATTAATGTTAGTGTGCGTTGGCTGGATATATATCTGTAAAACTTACATCAGAAAACTCAGCTTGGGATGAGACGACGTTGACCATGATAAGCTGCAATAGGCTCTTAAGGACTGCGACACCCTCCTCCAATTTGTTCTTTTGCAAGAACTGCTTGCCAGCGGTCAAGTCTGCCGATAATGACGACTCCAGATCGCGTGGGATGATGGGCAGGATCTTGCGCGAATCGGTCTCGTCTACTGTTCTCCGTACGTAGTTGACCAGCGAAGGCATGTTTGGTGTCGCTGGCAAATAAGTTCGCGTGGCTTGGTAGATCTCCTGGAAGCGCTCTTCGAGAGGAGCGAAATTGACAGCACCAACCTGTCGGTTCAGTAACTGCATGGCAGTATCGAACGATCCTGCAGCAATGTGATCCGCCGCCAAGGGTGAGTTGCGTGCCCAGAAATCAGCTTCGCTGCTTCCTGCACCAGCATCAGCACCCTCAACCTCGACGAAGTCGTCGTCTGCCTCCACATCGCCATCGTCACCCATGTCCCAGCCACCGATATCGTCGTCCTCGCCGCCTCCGAGTTCAGCAGCCGCACGAGTAGGCTCGGCGTCGCCCATAAGACCCTCGTCGCCAAAGCCGTTTGCTGTTGGCTCGTCGGAACCAATGCCTTCTACTTCGCCTTGGAGAGCCTTTTCAAATACAGTCGAAGAAGCTGCGCGTGTTGGCCAGTTGGCTTTGTGAGTAGGCACGATAGGCTTGGCAGGCGCCGAAGGAGCACCTATTGAAGGGAGGTTGATCTGCTCCTCCGATACACCGGCAGCTTCCAGTATCGACTGTGCCTGTTCGTCGAGACCTTGTGCCTTGGCAGTGGCATATGCCAGGGGGTATAGATCAAGCTCCTGGAACATCTCTATCCGGTTTTGTACGTCTCCCAAATAGAGCGCGTTCTGGAACCGTGCCGTCATGTCACCGCGGTGTTCTGCGATCTTAGCCATGCGCTTCAACTTGTCCTGATCTCCGGTAGTGAGGTATAGAAATGATAGCTTGTCGAAGTTGCGCAGCTTCTGGTAGGTCATCTCTACGGTCTGGTGGTTACCGTGTGCTAGAGCTTCGGTGCTCAGCCGTTGCCAGAGCTTTGGTCGGTCAAGCTGCTTGGCCATCTCGACTGCAACCTCTAGATTGCCGCACTCAATAGCAAGCTCGAAACGTGTCTGAGGATCTTGCACGAATTGAAGGGCAATTTCGGGATAGCCCTTCTTCTGGAGGTAGGAGATGATGCTCTGTCCAACCAAACTTGAAGTCTTTATGATGTTGAGCATCTCGTCGTAGTTGCGCTTGACCAGGGCGAGCTTGAATCGATATTCGGTGGGGTCGATTTGAAGAATCTTGGGCTTCGCAGCACGGTCCAGGCAGTATACGTTGCGACCCTTGACTCTCACAAGGTATACTGTTTGCTCCAGCGTACGTACAATACCATTGTCCCCGTTCATCAAACTATACTTGATGTGGTTCAGCGTGGAGTAGAGAAGGACACCAGTGTCGTCGAAGATTGCACTCTTGATCCGGATAGTCTCGTGCAGAGTGCTGACTTGCTCCAGGTTCTTGTTCGCAATAGTGACATTGTGTTTGCTCAGTAATGCGACGTGCAGTCCATCTGATGACCAGACAACGTACTTGACGCCGTTGACAGAGAGCTCAGCGAGGTTCTTCTTGGCCTGAATGTCGTAGAGAACAACGGAAGTAGGGGTGATCAAGAGCAGGTTACCGGTGCCGCCAAAGTAGATGTCGGTGGTTCCGTGCGGGGGCTTGATGGTCTTGGTAGTGGAGTTGCTGAGATCCTTGATGTCGATCTGTTGGTTAGACTGGTTGAAGACCGCAAATCGATTCCTAGCCACGAATACAGCCGAGCTACCAGATCCGCGCTTGGTGTCGGTCGGTTCTACCGCTCCTGAAGCGTCGCGCGGAAGGCTGATCAGCTCATATGTTCCGCTGTCGGCCGGAGATGTGACCAAGATTGAGCGTTCGGCAGGGTTGTAGGACAGTGTTCGTGGGGGTACCCAGGCGCTTCCCAGCTTCTTGAGAGACAGCATCGATGGGGACTCGATGTTCTTCTGGAAGTCGTAAGACCGGACGTGCTTCTCCTTGGTGATGTAGAAGAGGTTGTTCTGGTAAACCGCGGACGCAGGTCGCTCACGTTCCAGCTTGAACACCATCACACCGTTGTCGTGACCGGCAGCGAACAGGTTGATCTCAGGATGGGCTGCAATGACCCAGAAGCGGTCGTTTTCGCGCTTGAAGGACTGAACAGATGTACGCCTGTTGAGATCCCATACGCGAATCGTCTTGTCTTCTCCAACGGACAGAATCAAGTCCTGGTGTGGGTGGAACAGACACGCAGACGCGTTCTGGAAGTGTCCTCGGCAGGTGTCAACCTCCCATGCCTTTGTTTCTGACATCCTCCACAGCTTGACGAGGCGATCATCACCAGCGGAGACGATCAGCGGGAGCGTTGGGTGGAATGCGACCCAGTTGACACCTCGGTCGTGACCTTCAAGAACGAACTTGACAACCGCGTCCGTATTGCCGAACATATCCGCCTGGTTCTGGTTCGCGCGTGCCATCTGGTCCTCGAATGACATAGCTTGTGGTGCCGAGTGCTTCTTCCTGAGCCCAGAGATATCCCAAACACGAACCGACTGATCGAGCGAGGCGGAAACGATGAGGTCTTCCTTCGGGTGGAATTGCGCGCACATGGTGTAGTGGTTATGACCGGTCATAGTACATACTTCGGAGGGTTAGGTGTGTCTTTGCGAGAGATTGCGACGGACTTACTCAGTGATCCTATGGAAGTTAGTTGTGTACCAAACAGCAATGGAGGATGTCACTTACGGTTCTGCCAATTCCATATACGAATGGTCTCTGGTTTGTGTTAGCGATTGCACATCCAACTCATAGCATGCGCTTACGGTCGTCGGAACTACTCAATATCCATGGCAGCTCGTGGTGGAAGAAGACGGTCCGGACGTAGTCCAAATGGCCGTTCAATGTGAAGAGACATCGCCGAGTCTGGTATGACCAGACCTTGATCTTGTAGTCGTCGCCACCAGACACGAATCTGTGCAGTCTCAGTATGTTGCTGACCCTCCCAAGTTGTCCCCGGAATGCTCACAATGGCTGGGTCTTGTGGAAGTCAACGCCGCGGACCGGCCCGTCGTGTTCTTCGAAGCGATCTATAAGAGTACCCATGCGGTAGTCCCATAGTTGGATAGTCGACGAGTGTAGCGACACAAGGATCCATGGCCTGGAAGCGGTCAGAGGGGAAGGGAGCCGCGCGGTGTAGGAATGAGCTACCTCTTGGGGTGAAAGGCAATGCCTTTGGCACGCGAAGACTTGGACTCAAACTGCCCGGAATTAGCTAGCTACACGGTCGCACAGATGAGAGCTGCTTGCCTTGGTCAACATCGAGGGAGAGGAGGCCATGGCGGAATTGGGGACGAAGCCGCAGCTTCACTGTCGTCTAGAGTGGCCTCAATGCAAGAGACAGCAGGCGCGAAGAGACACGGGTATAAGGTAAGGAGAAAGAAACACGGTGTTGACTATTATCTTTGGTATTGCTGCCTGCGTGAGCTGCTCTTGCTAATGTTCGACATGCCACGCAACATTCGGATTAACCGCCTAACCGTCCTGGTCTCTAGCGCGCTTTCCCCACCAAGGTCACGTGAGATCTGCCAGACATCGCCTCAACTCTGTCTGAAGCGCTCGGGGCCTGTTTCAATATCAAGCGAACCTCGAGTTCCCACACTAGTTGCCGTAAGGCAGAGCCTCACTTCCTGACGCTGCCTCACCTCAATTTCGCCGCCGCTGCGTGGCTCGGCTCC